AGGGAGGGAGGGAGGGAAAGAGAGAGAGAGAGAGAGAGGGAGGGAGAGGGAGGAAGGAAGGAAGGAAAGAAGGAAGAAAGGAAGGAAGGAAGGAAGAGAGAGAAGAAATAAGCCACACAAAAATACTAATATTATACATTTATTTTTCTTTAAATAAAAAACTGCAGGAAGATATTGTAAAGAGGGTCTTACAATGTAGCTTAGTTGGTTCTAGAACTAACCACGCTCCTGCCTCACCTTTCCTTCTGTTGGAATTACAGAAATGCACTATTATACCTAAATTCTTAAAATTTACATCACATTTTCCATTTTGGGCTGAGGATTAATCGTAGAAACTCTAGTTAAGCACATAACTCAACCACCAAGCTACATATTCAGGCTCTAAAGCACTTTTTTTCAGTGTGTTGTTCTTTTGAAAAATCAAAGGGCTAAAAATCTATCAACAATGACTAGGAAATAACACAATCATAATCATACTGCAGAAAAAAACCCACTATGTTTTTAACCATAAGAATTCTAGGCCATGTGGTGGTGGCTCACACCTGTACTCCTAGCTTGTTTTTAATTTAAGTTATTGTAGAGGTGATATATAGAGAGGTTACAGTTAAGTAAGGTACTGAATCCATATCTTTTAACCAGTGTTACTCCCTCCCTAGTTTTCTCTTGTCCCCTCCCTCTCCCCCCTCCTTTTCCCCATGATTAACCAGCAGAAAACCAGAAGTGGTAATGTAGCCCAAAATGGTAGAGCACTAGTTTTGAGCAAAAGAACTCAGGCACAGCAACCAAGCCCTGAATTCAAGCCCCATGACCACCACCAACAACAAAAAGAACTCTGGTATCTAATACCACTTTGTACTTTTTCTTTGTACTTTATGTGCATATACACCTAATACTATAAATATATCATAATTAATTCTTGTAATACAAATCAAAATATTACCCAGTTTTCTTTTTCTCACATCTTTATTAGTACCTATTAATTATATAATATGGGAGATTTTGTTGTATCATTTTCCATACATGAATAATTTGGCCATATTCATTCTCACTATTTTCTTGAATTTTTGTTTGTTTTTGAAGATAGAGTCTCAATATGTAGCCTCAAACTTTTGATATTCCTCCCTCAGATTCCAAAGTGCTGGGAATATAGCAATGTGCCCCCATACCCAATGCAACCAATATTTACATATATTTTTTTTTTATAGTACTAAGGTCTGAACTCAGGGCCTTATGTTTGCTGGGCAGGACCTCTACCACTTGAACTACACACCCAACTCTATTTCTCTTTCTCCTACCTCCTTTTTAAAAAATCTTTCTTACAGTTTTTCAAAAATGAGTTTTATACCCAGTTGTTTGAAAAGATAAAAATGCCTCCAAAATATCAATGAAGTATAAATTTCCTCATATTTGTATCCTCAGAAAACTGAGAACAGGACATTGTCCTTTGTATGTGTTCTCATAAGACTTCTACTTCAATTTTTTTTTTAATCAGTGTTGGGGCTTGAACTTGTGGCCTAGGTGCTGTCCCTGAGCTCTTTCACTCAAGGCTATCACTCTACCACTTTGAGCCACAGTGCCACTTCTGGTTTTCTGGTGTGACTAATTAGAGATTAAAAAGTCTCATGGACTTTCCTGCCTGGGCTTGCTTTGAACCATGATCCTCAGATCTCAGCCTCCTGAGTAGCTAGGATTATCGGCCTGAGCCACCAGCACTAGGCTGAACATTTTAATTATTTAATAAAATTCTAGGGGGCTGGGAAGGTGGCTCAGTGGTAGAGTGCTTGCTTTGCAGGCATGAGACCCTGGGTTCGATTCCTCAACACCACAAAAGCAGAAAATGCCGGAAGTGGCGCTGTGGCTCAAATGGTAGAGCGCTATCCTTGAGCTGAAGAGCTGAGGGACAGTGCTCAGGCCTGGAGTTCAGGCCCCATGACTGACAAAAATAAAATAAAACAAAATTCTATATGATATAACCTAAAAAAGTTAAGTGGAGCTGGAAGTATAGCTCAGTAATAGAGCACTTGACTAGCAGGCAAAAAGGCCTTGAGCAACCTCTAGCAGGGGGAGGGGAAAAGATACATATATACATCAATCCAAATGTCACAAAAAAAAAAAAAACCCTGTTTCTATTTAAAACAGAAGGAAAGCAGGCACTTCTAATTCTAGTGCCTCTAATCCTCATGAGGCTGATTTCTGAAGATTACAGTTCAAAGTCAGCCCAGTTAGATAAATCTTCAAGATTCTTATCTCCAATTAACCAGCAGAAAGCCAAAATTGGAGGTATGGCTCAAGTATAGCACTGAGTTGACTGGAAACACAGAGCAAGAGCACAAGGCCCAGATGGAGTTCAAGCCCTAGTACTGGCACAAAACACACACACACACACACACACACACATATTAAAAGCAAATATTTCACATAATTAAAAGGAAAATGTTTCAGGTTACAATTTTTTCTCATATCAAAAACACAAGATTTAAACATTTTTTGGCCTAAGAGAAAGACATTTAACTTACTAGCATGCTTGTCCGCAAGCATTATAAGCGTGTTGGAAATATCTCGTCGTCTATAAAAGCACACTACTTTTGCTTCCACGTTGCCACTTGCAGTCTAAGAAATAAGAAAATAAGTTATGTGGGAGCTGGGAAGTGTGACAAAGCACGTCCTTAGCATTCATAAGACCCATGGTACAATTTTTCATATGAACTGTCAAATAACTTATTGAATGAACTGGATACAGGATAATTACAAAATCAGGGTTTATTTTATTTTTATTTTTTGGTTGTGGGGCTTGTATTAAGGACCTGGGCACTGCCCCTTGAGCTTTTTGCTCAAGGCTAGTGTTCCAACACTTTGAACCAAAAAGCTACTTCCAGTTTTCTAGTGGTTAATTGGAGACAGGAGTTTCATGGGCTTTCCTGCCCAAGCTAGCTTTGAACAATGATCCTCAACTCTCAGCCTCCTGATCAGCTAGCAAGGCAGGGTTCCAAACATAAGCCACAGACCCGGCTTAAGATCAACTTCAATACTGTTTCAACTACAACTACAAGATAACCAGAGACAGTAGTATTTGTCCAGGTTCTTAGTAAGAAACTACAATGTCAAATATACAAAAACTTACTGGCATCAATTATATCACTGTGATGGTATCAGTTTAATGATTACAGCCAGAGATAGTTAGTTGTGATCAGTCTTAAGAAATCAGTCTTCAAATTTTAAAAGCCACATATAATTTATGACATTTGAACCTATCTTCTCCAAACAAATCCCCAGAAAACAAAAGCTAACTATAAAACCACCCAGAGTCTCCCCTAAACATCCACACTCAACTTAAAGTAAACCTCTATAAGTGGCAGCAGCCTTTATACAAAATGGAGCAAATGACCTAAAAAGGCACCCATCCTCCACCCCAAGGAGATATGAGTCCACATAGACAGTATTCTTAGTAGTACTTATTGCTATCTTCCCATATGAAAGTATTAAAAGCCTTCAGTTATGAACACTAAAGCTCTTATTCCTTTTTGACTGTAATCTAGAATACAATCAATATTCAGTGAGGTTGTAATTTACTGCAGCTGAGGCCCAGGCTCTTATCCTCCTATTCTCTATGAATTCTGAGAATTTTCAAGAGGGTCAATCATTTATTACAAAGTTCTTCAAAAAACACATAGATTACACTAAAATGCTACTGTAATTCTCAGTTGCTAACAAATTTGAGAGTATGTTTTCAGAATTTCTCTAGGCTTACAGGTATATTAAAACAAAAAGAATTAAGAATATCTGCCCTGTAATAAAGTTGTCAATTTTATGAAGTTCAGCAGCAGTATTTCAGAGTGAGGAATGGCACTGTGAAAATATTGCCCCCTTAAAACTGAAATCATGAGCCGGGCGCTGGTGACTCACGCCTGTAATCCTAGCTACTCAGGAGGCTGAGATCTGAGGATCATAGTTCAAAGCCAGCCCAGGCAGGTAAATAGTGAGAGTCTTATCTCCAATAAACCACTCAGAAAACCAAAAGTGGACAGTGGCTCAAGTGGTAGAGCACTAGCCTTGAGCTGAAGAGCTAAGGGACAGAGTTCAGGCCCAGAGTTTAAGCCCCATGACCAACAACAACAACAAAAAAAAAAAAACCCTGAAATCATATTAAATTCCTAACCAAAATGTTGCTATATTTCATAATACACTGATCAAACACATTCTTCAGAAGTAACTATCTAGTAATCTGCTAAATGAACAGGCAGGCAAATATTTCTAGGTAGATAAATTCTATCCATGACTTCAACTACAAATCTCATTATTAGGGGTTCTCCCATTCCCCCAAACAGGGATGCTCTACAACCATTTTTAAATTCTGATTTAAACCTGCTTGAGAGATAGAGACATATTTCAAAATAAATATTTTCTTTGGAGGAAAGCATGCTTGGATTCAATTCCTAGCACTAAAAAAAAAAAAAATCTCTTCTAGACCATGTACACAAGGGCCATCAGATAGTTTTTGCAACTGTGGTATATTATTCCTCTTTCTTATAGAAAATGCACACATTTATGCCAGAGGCCTCTCCTGAAATTTAATTATTCAAAAATGTTACACTGTCTAGTGCCAATCCACTACTGTTCCTAGTATATTTTTTAATGCATATAGGAATAGGAGGTGGATGTATTATTTAAAAATAAAAGTTAGCCAAGCCAGGTGCCAGTGCTCACACCTAGCTGAGATCTGAGGATCACAGTTCAAAACCAGCCAGGGGAGAAAATTCCATGAGACTCTTCTCTCCAATTAACCACTAGAAAACCGGAAGTGGCACAGTAGCTCAAGCAGTAAAGCACTCGCCTTAAGGAAGAGTGTGGGGATAACAACCAAGCCCAGAGTTCAAGCCCCATGACCAAAAAAAAAGCCAAGTGCCAGTGGCTCATGCCTATAATCCTAGGTACTAAGGAAGCTGAGATCTAAGGATCAATATTCAAAGCCAGCCCAGGCATGAAAGTCCACGAGACTCTATCTCCAAGTAACCACCAGAAAACTAGAAGTCGTTCTGTGGATCAAAGTGTAAAGCACTAGCTTTGAGCAAAAGACTTCAAAGACAGCACCCAGGCCCTGAGTTCAAGCCCCATAACAGATACAACAACAACAACAAAAAGTTAGTTTTGAACTGGGTATAGTAGTACATGCTTATAATTCCAGCAATAAGAAGGCTAAAGCAGAGGATAAGGACAAGTTTGAAACCAGCTAAGACCTCATTCAGAGACATTTTTTTTCTTTTCTTTTTTTTTTTTTTTGCCAGGCCTGGGGCTGGCAAAAAACTCAGGGCTCAGACTTCTTTTGCTTAAGGCTAGCACTCTACCACTTGAGCCACAGTGTCACTTCTGGGCTTTTTCTATTTATGCGGTACTGAGGAATGAAACCCAGGGCTTCATGTATGCTAGGCAAGCACTCTACCCCTAAACCACATTGCCAGCCCTAACAATTTCTTAAAAAAAAAAAAAAAAAGCTAGGCACTGAGGGCTAACACCTGTAATCCTAGATACTCAAGAGGCTGAGATATGTGAAGCACGGTTTGAAGTCACCCCTTCTAGAATGTTTGTGAGACACTGAAATAAATCTCCAATAAATTACCAAAAAAGCCAAAAGTAAAGCTGTGGCTCAAGTGGAAGAGCACTACTACCCTTGAGCAAAAGAAGCTCAGGAACCCTGAGTTCACATACCTGGACCTGCAACAAGAAGAATAACTAGCATTGATTTTAAGGAGCTAGATTGCAGCTAGGTAGTAGAGCACTTGTTTAGCATGTAAAAGGCCTTGGGTTTGATTAAAAAAAAAAAAATGGGCTAACACAAAGAATGAAAGAAGCTGGGCGCCAATGGCTCATGTCTGAAATTCTAGCTACTCAAGAGGCTGAGATCTCAAGATCATGGTTCAAAACCAGCTTGGACAGGAAAGACCATAAGACTCATCTCCAATTAACCAGTAGAAAACCAGAAGTGGTTCTATGGCTCAAAGTGGTAGAGCACTAGCCCTGAGCAAAAGAGCTTAGGGAGAGCACCCCAGGCCCTGAGTTCAAGCCCCATGACTGACATAAAAGAAGAATGAAAGACGATGAATATGCAGAAATGAATTGTTTAAATGTATGAAAACAGAAACTGTTGAAATTCTTTCAGAAAGGGAAAAGGGAGAGTAACAGAGTAAGGTTGACAAATATGAAATCCTTCACCAAAAAGGAATGTATGAGCCGGGCGACACTGGTTCATGCCTGTAACCCTAGCTAAGGAGACTGAGTTCTGAGCATCTCAGTTCAAAATCAGCCTGGGCAGGAAAGTCCACGAGACTCTTAGCTCCAATTAACCACCAGAAAACTGAAGTGGCACTGTGGCTCAAGTGGTAGAGTGCTTACCCTGAAGAACTCAGGGACAGTGTCCAGGCCCAGAATTCAAACCCCATGACCAGAAAAAAAAAAAAAAAAGTAATGTACGCTAATAAAATAAAATAAAACAGGCAGTAATGGCTCACATCTGTAAATTCTAGCTACTCAGGAGGCTGAAAACTGGGCAAGGCAGGAAAGTCCATGAGACTGTTGTCTCTAATTAGCTAGCAAAATGCCAGAAGTGGAGCTATAGCTCAAAAGGTAGCAAACTTAGCATTGACCAGAGAAAACTAAAGGACAGTGTCCAGGCCCTTAGTTCAAGCCCCAGAACCAACATAAAATAAACAAAATTATAGAAGTTACTTGAACTTCAAGACTCTACAAAGTGAAGAAATACAATACAATACAATAAAATACAATAAAAATGTTTAAAACCAGAGAAAGTAACTACCAAAAAAGTAAAAATATATTTATTTTTAATCTGGTTTTCTTTTGTTTATGTGGTACTGACGAATGGAACCCAGGGCTTCATGCGTGCTACACAAGCACTCTACCACTAAACCACATTCCCAGCCCCAAAAGAATATTAAGAATCTTACATATATAATACTAATATAAAACTATTTTCAGGGCTAGAAATGTGGCTTAGTGGTAGAGTGCTTGCCCAGCAAGCATGAGGCCCTAGGTTCCATTCCTCAGTACCACACACATAGAAAAGGCCAGAAGTGGTGCTGTGGCTCAAGTGGTAGAGTGCCAGCCTTGAGCAAAAGAAGCTCAGGGACAATGCCTAGGCCCTGAGTTCAAGCTCCAGGACTGGCAAAACACACACACACACACACACACAAAAAAAAAAAAAAAACTATTTTCAGAGTCTAGAACTAAAAGTAAAAATACTTATTGCTAGGCATGGTGGCTTACTCATGTAACCTTTGCTATTCAGGAGGCTGATATCTGAGGAATGAAGTTCAAAGCCAGACTAGGCAGGAAGTCCATGATACTCTCATCTCCAATTAACTACCCAAAAACTAGAAGTCGGACTGTGGCTCAAGTAGTATAGCACTAGCTTTGAGCAAAAAAAGCTCAAGGACAGCATCCAGATTCTGAGTTAAAACCCCAAGAACAGCACACATACAAAAAAAATTCTTTTACCCAATTATATTCAGTGGAATATAGTTTGCAATATTAGGATGAATAACAGTGTATACCTTGTTAAGTTCTTCTATTCTTCTGATTAGATATGGGTTGCTGGAAGAATTTTCAAAGTACACATAATCTGTAACCAAAGGAAGTTATAAAATTTAATCTTTTCAACAGGAAGTTCACATATGTCAATCCATAATTTTCTGTATTTGGCAATTAAGCAGTTATTTATTGGTAATGCAACCTTAATATATTGTCTCATGTGCCTACTACTCACAAACCTTTTTTTCTGGTATTTCCATTTCAATTAATATTCTGTTTTTTATTATTGTTTGCTTTTGTGCAAGTATTATGGCTTGAACTCAGAGCCTGGGCACTGTCCCTTAGTTTTTTCCACTCAAGGCTGTCTCTACCACTTGAGCCACACTCTACTTAACTAGAAATGAGTCTCATGAACTTTCCTTCTCCTTACTGGCTTCTAACCTGGACCCTCAGATCTCAGCCTTCTCAGTAGCTGGAATTACAGGCTTGAGCCACAGGATCTATACTTTCTTTGTAAGTCTTTTTTTGATGTTTTGTTTTTTTTTAAGATAGGCTGTTCCTATGTAGTTCAGGCTAGCTTTGAACTTGCTATCCTTTGTCTCAAGTGCAGGGATTAGTGGTGCCTGACATAACCATGGTGAGCATAATTCCTTTAGTAAACAAAAACATGGACACCTCTTCATCACTGAGTGATCAGGACTCACTACACTAGACTCATCCTCTAAATTTCTTCCACATCCTTTTCCCCTAATCCAATCTGCCCTGGAATATGCTTCTTAGGTCAAACTGTTGACCTAAGACAAATTCAGAGCAAGGATGTTTTAGCAACCCAACTTAAATTTCAATCACCCCAAAAAAAATTTTTTTAAGATCAGGTGAGCAGAGTTAAGGGAAGAGAAAGCTCAGTAGCAAACTTTTCCAAAGCTCTACCTGAGAAAATGAGGGGTCACTTGCTGAGGGGCAGTACTCTGTGGGATGATGTTGGACTATTTTCACTCTTTTAGCGTATTTACTTTAGATCCATTTAAGTTCATGCTACCAAAAAAAATCATTGCAAGATTTCAACCAAAAGCATACAAATACTCCACTCTCACAGGTTTACTGGAAACTTCCCACTTCGTGTGTGAGAGGTTGGACTGCATTGCTTAATGTCCACCCTGGTAGCTCTGCAAAGTGGCCTCATTTAGCCAGGCCATTCCCACCGCCATCCATCAGGAGCTCAGCTAATGGGCAGAGGAAGAGCAAGTCTCACTCACCAACACGCCACTCATCTGAATTATTATTTTACCAGCAAAGAGGGAGGAGGGCGTCGTGAGCAGGGAGAAAGTTTGTTTGACCTTATTTCTCTCTTCTGCAGAAGGCAGGGAAGGCAGACAGCAGAGCAAACGTCCAGGTTGCGCTCAACTCCCTCTCCACCGGCTGCGGGGCTCCCCGGCCCCATGCAACCCCATTCTTGAAGGGGGGGGTGGGAGGGGGGGTAGGTGGGCGACAAACCGAAGGGGGCAACCAGGAAGGGAAGGTGCAGGGCCCTGGCCCGGGGAACAGGCCTCGTCCAGCTGTGTCCCAGGCTGGGCCCATCGTCCCCGTCCCCGCCCCACACTGCCACCGCAGGGGGGGAGGGGGGCTGGGGGAGGGGGTGTCCCCCTCTATGCTCCCCCAAAGGCCAAGCGAGGAAAAAGCCACCCAGCCAGGGGTCCCGACGGGCCCGACTCTGACGGGGGGTTTCGTGGAAGGGGCATGTGTAATTCACCCCCCAGGGGAGAGGCCCGGCCCTGGGGGCCCGGGCGGGGCGAGGGGCCGA